ACGTAGGACTATCGAATTTTGGCTTGCGGTTTCTTCGCCATTTTATCTCTTTTCCTAACCAGTCAGTCTACCCACAAACCTCCCGTTGTTATTTTCCTTCGTTTTTTTGTACGTATCTATATTTATCTTTTCTCCTATCTCTGATGTTAAGATACGATTATAATCACATCTACATTATTTGTTCTTACACTAAATATTCTGTTGGCATGTTGGGTTTGCAAATAAATCCTTTCGGATTTTCAGGGTAAAATAAAAATCAATATATTATACAAATAAAAAAATATTTTAACTACAATGTATTGACCATTATTTAGGAAGGAGATGGTCTGTGGCGGCGGTCATAAATAGGCTAAATAGTGGCAAAATTATTTTATTAAAAGCCAATGTTTCGACCCGATTTTGCAGGTCTTCTTCAGGGCTAGAACGGACAAGGTACAAAAAAAGTTATAGATAATTATAGAAGTTACATAATATTTAGACAAAAAATTATAAACCATGTGAATCAGCTAATTAAAATTATAAACAGTTAGTACATTAAAATATAAAAAGAGTAAGCTAAGTAACAAGATCGTACACTGATGTAAATAGATGGTAACAATTGTTGTCGTGTAATATATAATATATGCAAATGTGAATATACTTCTACAGATCTACAGGAGAGATTGAAAGAAAAGGAAAAAGGATATAATATGAAATAATTTACAAAAAGGAATGTGGAGAAAGAAAAGAAAAAAGAAAACCAAAAAATAAATAAATAAGTTAAATAAAATTATAAGAATAAAATAGAGACTTACAAATGTGTTCAGCTAGGAGTTTCACTTAGAACTGGAAAATCGGGGTAAGAGTAGGTATTGGGAAAATTTGCTGACCTGTTAAGGTCATGGGAAAAAAAAAAAAAAAAAAAAACTTGGAAAATTACAGTTGGCTTTTAATAAAATAGTTTTAGTAATAGGCCACTATTTAGCCTATTAAGATAAGACAACGACCCCGGACCATTCCTTTGTAATGCAACGGTCAACTATTAAATATTCAATATGACCATTATTTAATATTACTTTTTCCCATCTTTCCACTTACTGCATAATGCCATGTTCATAGAATGTCAGGAGTTTATTGTTAAAAATCTGATCCAAGTGGTTTTTGATGTCCTCTTCCTTTTGGAATTTCTTTCCAATCATCGAGTTCTGCAGAGACCGGAGTAAGTGGTCGTACATAGAGCTAGATCTGTTGAATAGGGAGGGTGGTGCAAAAGGTCCCATTCAAGTCTCAGTAGTTTATTGCGAGTGACCAATGAGACGTGGGACCGAGAGTTGTCTTGGTGAAACACAAAACCCTGCCGATCATTCATAACTATTCAGGATGTTCTCCAAATTCGACGTTACTATATCCGTTAGAAAGCTTTTTTGATTTAATGCCTACATAATGAATAAATTAACAAAAACTCCTTCTAGGTTTTTATTTTTTATCTCCATTTGTAGTTTGTTTACGAAGGTCCTGTTGATGTCATTTTGTGTAGTTTAAGTGGCTATAAATTTCTGTAGATAGCTAAAGTCGTATTAAAGTTTTAATATTTTTTGTGATTTTTTAAGAAAAATCATGTGAGTGACCCATACATTAAGCCTGGTTTTCCGTGTTTACAAATGGTTTTCTATGCTTGTGTGCGACACATTTAGGGTCATAGCAATCTCTCGCACTAATTAGGCGCGATTTTAATCATCAATGGCCTTAACATTACTTGTTTTAATTTCATGTGGGTGACCAGACCGTTGACCCAACGACATTTCCTGAATGAAATTTGACATACCAATTTTGACAGGTGTGTTCGGTTAAGGTATCATCTCCATAAACACAGCAAATTTTTGCAGATTGTTATCCTGTTTGTAATATGTCAACAGCTATATCTGTTAACTCTTGTTGAAACTACCTTAGTATTGTGTTTGCTATTGCACTGTGAATATGGAAGAATATATCATTCATTATTGGCATATTTTGTAGTATGGCGGGATAAATTCTTAACGGAACGCACCTATCAAAGTTGGTTTGCCAAATTTCATTTAGGAAATTTTGACATAAATGATGCTCAACGGTCAGGTCGCCCACATAAGATTGAAACGAGCAATGTTAAGGCCATTTTAATAAAAATCCCACCCAATCAGTGCGAGAGATTGCTATCACCCTAAATGTGTCACACACAAGCGTAGAACTCCATTTGCACAATCTCGGCTATGTTTTCAGACTTAATGTTTGGGTACCTCACTCTCCAACCGAAGTCAACTTGGCAGCAGGCATTTTTGTTTGTAATTCATTACAGAAACGGCAACAAAACGTCTCATTTTTGAGAAAGTCGGTGACAGGAGATGAAAAATGCGTATTTTACCTTTTACCTAGTGGTAAGATTCCTAGAATCTCAAAACCCGATTTCATCCAAAGAAGATAATGCTTTCCATTATTGTGGGATTTGAAGAGTGTTATTATCTTTGAACTATTGTCATCAGAACAAATAATTGATTCAACTCCATACTGCTCACAATTAACAAGATGGGGTCAATCAATTAAAAATAAACACCGAGAAATGGCAAATCGGAAGGGTATTCTGTTCCATCACTACAATCCTAGGGCCCCACACAGCATTGGTCACACTCAATAAATTATTGAGCTTTGGATGGAATATTTTGTCCCACCATCCCTATTCAACAGATCTAGCTCTAAGTACGACCACTTACTCCGGTCTCTGCAGAACTCCATGATTGGAAAGAAATTCCAAAAGGAAGAGGACATCAAAAACCACTTGGATCAGATTTTTAACAATAAACTCCAGACATTCTATGAACACGGAATTATGCAGTTAGTGAAAAGATGGGGAAAAGTCATATTAAATAATGGTCAATATATTGTAGATTAAAATAAATTTTATGTCTATAATACATTGAGTTTTATTTCACCCTGTAAAACCGAAAGGACTAAGCAATTATAAATATACTCAAATCACAATATATAGTACAGTTGCGTTTTTTATTATATTTATTTTATATATAAATGAAGTATTAAACTAAAATCATCGTCGTTAAAATTTGTATCTAAAAACTCTTTATAGCAGTCACTTAAATGTTTCGGGATTTTAGAACATCATCAGAATAATATTGCGAAAAAAATGTTCATTAATATCAACTCCAAACTATAATAAATGCACTTTTTATACGTAAATAAAAAATACAAAAAAATAATGATCAATTGTAGTATTATCTTTTCATTTATTTTTATATCCACATGTTATCTATTAAAAACTGCTGATAGTTCTATTTTCGTCCTTAATATACAAATCTGTACTCAATTGAGAATTAAGATGGATAATTTAGAATTTACTAAAAAGCATCTCAGGCCAATGGGGAAAAAATTAAGCTTTGTAGTAATTTATTGTAGTTACTTCTGCTTAAAACAAAGAAAATTTGAGGTGACCGAATATCAAATCATAATTTTTTTTAAACAACTACCTTATTCTGTGACTGATTTCAACTTAATTATAGACTTAAAGATTATTAATTAAGAAAGGAATTGTTCTGTAATCTAGTAGGACACTTATAAAACAAAAAATCAAGAATAGTCAATAATTTTATAAAAAATAGCTTATAATTCCGGTTAAAAGCAACTTAAAATGGAAACATGAAGAAAAAATTATAAATTTAGTAATTATCTAAATTAAATATTTTTTTTATCAATTCATATTCAATAAAAACAAGAAATTAAAAAAAAAACACAAATTTTCTACATTCCTGTGTGAAATCATACAATTGTTTACATACCTTTTTTTTGCAGCTCTTGAGGTTTGCTAACACACCTTTAACTATTTCTCATTACGTAGGGAGCAAAATGTATAAATTTTGTATATTTATTTATAAAAATTAAAAAAAATATTCATTATATTCTAGTTTAGAATTGTTATAATTGGAAAAAATATTTATAATTTTCACCTACAATTAATTAATAACTTTTCTCACTATTTATAGACACACAAACATGTATATGAGTGTGTATTTGTATACATAATTTATATATTATATAGTGTATTATATAAAGATGAGATATAATTTTTTTTCTAAAACATTTAATTGATTAATAATGAACAGAATATGACGCCTTGTTGATGGATGATCTTTAATATTTTTAAAATATGTGAAGAGAAGAATGGGTGGAGTGATCAGTAAAAAACATAGTAAAAGTAAATAATTATATTTATTATTATTTTTATAAATACAAATATTTATTTTTACTATTTTTTTTTTTACTGATAAATCCACAATTAAAATATGTGGAGTGCTACATTTTCAAAACAAATGTATTTTCATGTTTATATAAGACGACCAAAAATGGTTTTTTTATTTAAGTGGTAAACGATATATAAAGATGATATGTTTGAAAATGTCTAAAATGAGACGAAAACATTACAAATAAATAAATATGTGTTATAACTTAATAAAGCATTTTGTTAAGAGTATTTATTTGTTTATTTTATTAACATTTTCAAAAAAAAAAAATTATATTTAATAGCAATGTCCTGATGATGGGTATAAATCCGAAATATTTTAGTGTCTTATCTAAACATTGACTTCTATGACTTTTTGATTAAACATTTTTTCTATATATTTTAATGAAATTTACGTTTTTGTATATTCTAGAATAACAACAAATGTTGCATTTGGTTACGGAAGCACGTAGGAAACAATTTGTTTCCTTCTACATTGTATTCCTGAGCAAGTCTGTTTTCATTATGATGTAATGAAAATAGTTTTCATTGTGCAAAAACAAATTTGAAAAAAATATAATACAGTATACAAATGAATTGTTTGTCTGTTTTCATTATAAATAAATATAAATATGTTAGTTCACATTCTAACAGTTTCAGTTTGGATTTTATTCACTATTTCTTATTATACGTCTATTAAATATTAGTATTTAACATGTCTTAGTGTGTAATATTTGATAATAACAACAAACCTACTCACCAACGAATCGTTCCAATTGAAGATGTTGCAGCTCCTGTTGATAGAGGTCGACTGAGTGCTAAAACTCGCGCGGCAGGTTATGAAGGTTACGATCGCTGACGTATGAGAGGGTCAGGAAACTCGGAACTGTGCTCTACATGACCCAGTCTGAGTTGTATATACAATAGCGAGGCGGGATTTTCTTTTACGTCATTATCGAACAGAAGTGTATGATGCAGAGTTGGTCAAGATCAGGTAATACCCAGGTATGATGGTTCAAGAGTGGGGAGTTGAAAGACCCCTCCCCTCCTTTTAAAAATAAGATTTTAATTTCTGTTAATATCCTCCGTTTTTCCTTCACTTACTTATATATGTAATATATTTTATTTATTTATTAGTCATACATATTCGTGGCTCACAATAAATTTGCCATCTACATCGGTATTCAGCAAATATGATATCAGGGAAAAGAAATGATAATATAAAAAAAAAAAAAAGAATAGTAATAACAAAACAAAAAGACAAAAAAAAAAAAAAAAAAAAAAACAGTAGTAAAATAACACATACATAATAACAAACACACACAAAAAAAAAGATAATGCAGCAAGTAGCTCAATGCAATAAGTCTCTTGGCCAGCGCCTCAGCAGTCTTCTGGGCGGATTATATGGATTTGTGGCAGTAGATAGAGCTTGAGTAAGTGGATTGGAATTTAGAGTCAGTCTGTGATGAAAATTATTGAAGCTGTAAGTTGTAGTTGCCGTGATGAAAGGAGTGTTAAAGTCAGTGTGTAAAGTGAGGATTCAAACATAAAAGGGTGCAACAATTTTCCGAAGGACTTTTGACTGGAATGACTGGATGATTTTTATATTTGATTTCTTTGCTGTTCCCCATAGTTCGATCCCATAGGTCCAAAGTGGTTTAATGAGTACTTTGTAAATAGTTAATTTATTAGTCACAGATAATTTAGAACGTCTGTCAAGTAGCCTAGAAAGAAGTCCGTATCGCTGATTAATTTCTTTTCTTTTTTGTTTTAAGTGGTATGTCGATTTCAGTCGTTTGTCTAAGTGGAGACCCAAATATCGTCCAGTTTTTGAAGGTGGTAGAGCAATATTATTGAAGAACACTGGAGGACAAGAGTCATGTTTAAGTGTAAATGAAACAAATTGGCTATTAGACTCGTTCATTTTTTTTCTCCATCTTTTAGCCCAACAAGCTATGTCGTCTAGGTGTTCTTGAAGTACCTGAGAAGCCTTAGCTGCATCCTTGTTAGATGCTAATATTGCCGAGTATAATATATATAGTATAATATATGTAATATATAGTAAGGAAAAGGATCGTGAGAATTTTCGAATCTGAGTTTTCAACGAAAATACACGTTTTGAAGTCCACTGAGTCTAATTAACAAAGTTCCGCAAAATGGTCTGTGTGTCTGTCACGGTGAAATATCAATATCAACGGTGAAACACGTTTTTACAATTTTCTCAAAAACGGCTCCAACGATTTTCAATAAACTCGGTTTATCATTGTATAATTAAGTGGCCTTTAATACCATTGAGGTCTTATCACCATTTATATCAGTTTACAGGGCTTAAATACTTAAATGATCAACACATCATCTTCCGAAGAACCTTTAATTTGGTTTATTTTAAATAATTAACAAGATTACAAAATATAACTTTTGAAAGAATTTGTTGAAAAAAAAATGGAGAAAAAAAAGGAAAATGTTCATATAGGTCGAAAATGAATTTCCTGAAATACTAGTCGGAAGGTATACGTATAATTCAACGTTGGAAAGCGAAGATTTTTAGAAAAAAACATCTAATATAGAAAGTAATGGAGAGTGAAGAAAAACTATAAATAATAACTTGTGAAAACTAAATTATTTAAGGGAAATCGCATGTTTCCAAGGAAATTAAATGAAATTTACTAACTGAATGTATACTTTATTTTAAATTTAATGTTAAATTAAAAGAATTTAAAATCCACCTACTCAAGGCAATGCCACTGCTTATACAACTATTTCATAGGGAATAGTGAAATATAAAAATATTTCATGGATGTATAAAGCATAGGTTTATAACCTTAAATACATTAACTGTAGTTTAATAATTCTAGATCTGATATTATGTTTAAATAATTAGGTATCTATGGTCCGTTTATTCCGAAAAATCATTATGTAACCTTTTAGAAAATTAAATTAGTGAATAATTTGATGAATTTTTCGCTTTAAGAAATCCAAACATTATCCACATAAAATTGGTGTGACAACTTTTGACCTGTCTATGGCAGGGAACGAAAATCTCGTAATTTTATTTTAGTAAACTTTACAATGGAAAATAACAGTTTAATAACTAACACACATATATTCCATGATCATTTATAGGTGGAATATAGAGATATATTTTCAAATCTTTTTAGGCATATATATATTATAATTATATTAGGCATATATATATTATAATATTATAATTAATATTAAAACTATATGTGTTAATAAGGAAGTAGTGTGTTGCGCGCATAAGATTTTTTATATCCTAAACAAAAAAATAATTATTTAGTAAAGACGTAAACAGTTATTTTATATTTTTAAAAGCATTTCCGTAACCAGGAAAAACATATTTAATTTTAATTAGTATGTTTTTTAATTAACAAGTTGTCTTGTTGTTTATGTCGTCGGCACCATGCTAGAGTTAAGAATACTAACCTGCCCAACGTTGCGCATTCCTTACTTTAAATTTAAATTGTTACTTTACATGTTTTTTTTTCGTAATTAATTTTGTTTTAATTTAATTATGAGCTAATTTTTAATGCTCATGAAGATAGAATGATTATTTTCTCATGATTTCATTATTTTCCGTCCTGTATGATTTTGGTTGAATTTGAATGGATACTGTGAAACCCTGTAAGTACAAAAAATAAAATCATTAATAAGATGAGATAAAACTCTTATTTGTTGCTTTATGAACTAAATTTTCTGTTCAATTTTTACTTCATACTTCAGACAGAGATATAATGTTTTATATAACTTTTCTTACAGGCTTTTAATATAATAGTGCTGTTCAATAATAGTACTCCATATTTTTTGCACAATGCACATCACTAACCACGAGTTCGGTTAATCATTCTCTTCTCAATATTTCATTCGAAACGCTTTACAGTAGAATATATGAAAAATATTTTAAACATCACATCTTTGCACCGTATTGTCCGATTTTTCTGACTTTATTTTATAGGAAATTTCGTCAGCTTTTAAATAACCATCTACAAAAAAGTGAATACTATTTGAGTTATTCGGAAATCTTATACTACTCATCGTAACCTTTTTTCCAGCTTCTTTTCGTTGAAGTATGTTAAATAGATAAATTTAAAGGATTTGGAAGGATAAGACTTTAGCCAAGTTTTATTAATATCGGTACATTTGTTTAGGCGCTATGCGGTACAGGTCTTTCGGTAGCCATTATGAAAGGGAAGCGGTTTTTGGTGAAGTATGTTCTATACCTAGTCCTGTCATAAATATTGTTACAAGGAAATATATACTGATTTCTAAAGAAAAATAATTTTTTTTTTCAAAAGCTTTATTAGAAAATAAAATGTATATCTATACAGAGTAAAACAAAACCTAAATTACTCAAAATGTCCCTCTTTTGCCCTGACATATTCATTTAATCTCCGTGGCCAGTTTTCAATAGCAGCACGCACAGCACTTCTTGAAGAAAGCGCTCAACTGCTCTGACCAGAAATTGTTTGAGGCTTTCCAAGTTAGGGTGTATTCTGTGGCATGCCACCCTCTCCAGTTCGGGCCAAAGCCGATAATCTAGTGGGTTGAGATCAGGACTTCCTAATGACCAATCAGAGACAGAGATGAAATCTTGTTATCTGGTGCGGAATCCTGCGGGAAAACCCAATGACTTCCAGCAGAGTATCATTTAGAGACTTGACAACAGGTTCCGAAATATCGTCCTGATAGTTTTTAGCGGCTGCTTTGATTTCTTCACAAAAATGGAGCTTTGTGGTGCCATCAAAGCAAACTCCCCACCAAACCATCACTGAGGAAGGATGATGACCTCTTTCCACTCTTCCAATGTCTTCGTGGGCTTTTTTAGAGCTGTGTGCGTACACACGATCATTTTGGCGATTTAATTTTTGTTCAATTGTAAACATTTTCTCATCGCTAAACAAAATCTTTCGATGAAGACCATTAGTGTAACGGCCAAGGAGCACTTTGCATCTATCCACTCTATTTTTTTTAGAGAAGTGGTTAGCCTTTGTCCTGTCATTCTTCGAAATGCACCCATCCTAAGGTCACTTTTTATTATGTGAGACATTGATCTGACAGAGATTCCCATTTCCCGAGACATGATTTGTTGTTTTCGAATGGGATTTCTTCTGATTCGAGCAGCCACTGCTCTCACTGCATTTGCCGTTCTCACAGTGCGGAGCTGATCTGGTTTAGTCTGTCACATACAGATAGGGTCTCATTATATTTATTTATAGTGCGGTACACGAACATACGGCTGATATCCAAAGGTTTCAGAGTGTTGAAAATCTCTGACCTACATTTTCCAACTTTGTGTAAGTCGATCACAGCTATTCGGTTTTCTTTATCACCACACCCCATGTTAACTGAGCAAAAGAAAAATACAAACTAATTGGGATTATTATCCTGACATGTAAAGAAAATAACCTGATAGAGGTAAGGATTATCTAAATAATATCCAAGGATGTAAACAAAGTTCAACTTTTTTAACAGTATGTATGGTAGAACTTGCACATATATTTAAAAGAAATCCACTAGAAGACTTCAGCCAAGGTTTATTGAAATCGGTGCATTGGCTACAATTTAGGCTATTGGTTAATAGGGTTTAGGCGCTACGGTCTGTTCCACCACGGGTCTTTCGGTCGCCATCTTGAAAGGAAAGGGCGGATAGTTTTTTTTATTCGATTTTCGAGTTCTACGTATCCTGAAATGTAAAACTCCAAATTTTGAGATGGGATTGAGGTTTAATTTGATTAATTTTTTCAGTCAGTTTCAATGGTTCATTATTGAAAATAAGAAATTAAAACTATCTGTTATAACCACTCACACAACATCATTTACTATTTTGGTTGCAAAGTACAATTCAAAAATTTGTTCACAGTAATGTAGTGTTGCCCAAATGCGAGACCGAGACAAGTCTTGGTGTTGCAA